ATCAACCGTATACCCACTGTATATAACCGTAACCCATGTATATCCACTGTATACCCACTGTATATCAACCGTAAACCACTGTATATCACGTAACCGTATATCCGTACCACAGTATATCCACTGTATCCACGTATATCCACCGTATACCACTGTAATCCCACCTGTATATCAACCGTATACCCACTGTATATCACGTATACCCACTGTATATCAACCGTATACCCACTGTATATATCCACCTATACCCACTGTATATCAACAGTATACCCATGTATATCACGTATATCCACGTATATCCACTGTATATCAACACCGTATACCACCAGTATATCCACTTGTACATACCACGTATATCAACCGAATACCACTGTATATCACCATATACCCACTGTATATCCACCGTATACACCACTGTATAACGTTACCCACTGTATATCAACCGTATACCCACTGTATATCAACCGTATACCAGTAATCACTGTATACCACTGTATATCCACTGTATATCAACCGTATAACCCACTTTATATCAACCATATACCACTGTATAACCACTGTAACACATACCCACTGTATATCAACCGTATACCCACAGTATATCCACCGTATACCCACGTATATCAACCGTATAGTAACCCACTGTAATACCACCGTATACACCGTATATCCACTGTATATCCACCGTATACCACTAACCACGTTATAACAATCCCACTGTATATCAACCATATACCACTGTATATCCACGTATACCATATCCAATGTATATACCACTGTATATCACCAGTATACCCACTGTATATCCACCATATACCCACAGTATATCCCTACATATCCACACTGTATATCCACTGTATATCAACGTTACCCACTGTATATCAACCGTATACCCACTGTATATCAACGTACGTATACCACTGTATATCACCGTATACCCACTGTATATCCAACCGTACAGTATACCACTGTATATCAACCGTATCCACTTACATATATACCACTGTATATCCATATATCCAATGCACATTCCCTATACCACGTATAGTCCACTTAACCAGTTATCCATGTATAACCTACTCACATATTGTATATACAGTATTCGAAACCTAATCAACTATTGTATATAACTGTATTAAACCAATCACATAGTGTATATCAACGTTAATGTAACCCAATCACTGTTTGTATAATGTATACAACCACTTACATATTGTATATAATGTATTGAACCACTCTACCATAGTTGTGTATAATGTATGAAACCACTCTACCTAGTTGTATATAATGTATTGAAACCACTCTACCTAGTTGTATATAATGTAATGAAACCACTCTACCTAGTTGTATATAATGTATTGAAACCAATCTACCTAGTTGTGTATAATGTATTGAAACCACTCTACATAGTTGTATATAATGTATTGAAACCAATCTACCTAGTTGTGTATAATGTATTGAAACCACTCTACATAGTTGTATATAATGTATTGAAACCACTCTACCTAGTTGTATATAATTTATTGAAAACACTCTAACCAGTTGTATATAATGTATGTAAACCATACTACCTAGTTGTATATAATGTATTGAAACCACTCTACCTAGTTGTATATAATGTATTGGAACCACTCTACCTAGTTGTATATAATGTATTGAAACCACTCTACCTAGTTGTATATAATGTATGTAAACAACTATACCTAGTTGAATATAATGTATGTCAACTTTGTGTAAAGCAGCACCATATCACCAGGTAACATTCTGACTATGTTGACTATCACTAGCACCACCATCACCAGGTAACATCCTGACTATATTGTCTATCACTAGCAGCACCATATCACCAAGAAACATTCTGACTATGTTGTCTATCACTAGCAGCACCATATCACCAAGTAACATTCGGACTATGTTGTCTATCATTAGCAGCACCATATTACCAGGTAACATTCTCACTATATTGTCTATCACTAGCAGCGCCATATCACCAAGTAACATTCTGACTATGTTATCTATCACTAGCAGCACCATATCACCAAGAAACATTCTGACTATGTTGTCTATCACTAGCAGCACCATATAACCAAGTAACATTCTGACTATGTTGACTATCACTAGCAGCACCATATCACCAAATAACATTCTGACTATGTTGTCTATCACTAGCAGCACCATATAACCAAGTAACATTCTGACTATGTTGTCTATCACTAGCAGCACCATATCACCAAGAAACATTCTGACTATGTTGTCTATCACTAGCAGCACCATATAACCAAGTAACATTCTGACTATGTTGACTATCACTAGCAGCACCACAACACCAAGTAACATTCTGACTATGTTGTCTATCATTAGCAGCACCATATCACCTAGTAACATTCTGACTATGTTGTCTATCACTAGCAGCACTATATCACCAGGTAACATTCTGACTATGTTGTCTATCACTAGCAGCACCATATAACCAAGTAACATTCTGACTATGTTGTCTATCACTAGCAGCACCATATCACCAAGTAACATTCTGACTATGTTGACTATCACTAGCAGCACCATATCACCTAGTAACAATCTGACTATGTTGACTATCACTAGCAGCACCACAACACCAAGTAACATTCTGACTATGTTGTCTATCACTAGCAGCACCATATCACCTAGTAACAATCTGACTATGTTGACTATCACTAGCAGCACCACAACACCAAGTAACATTCTGACTATGTTGTCTATCACTAGCAGCACCATATCACAAAGTAACATTCTGACTATGTTGTCTATCGCTAGCAGCACCACATCACCAAGTAACATTCTGACTATGTTGACTATCACTAGCAGCACCACATCACCTAGTAACATTCTGAGTATGGTGTCTATAACTAGCAGCACCATATCACCTAGTAACATTCTGACTATGTTGTCTATCACTAGCAGCACCATCACCAAGTAACATTCTGACTATGTTATCTATCACTAGCAGCACCATATCACCAAGTAACATTCTGACTATGTTGTCTATCACTAGCAGCACCATATAACCAAGTAGAATTCTGACTATGTTGTCTATCACTAGCAGCACCATATCACCAAGTAACATTCTGACTATGTTATCTATCACTAGCAGCACCATATCACCAAGAAACATTCTGACTATGTTGACTATCACTAGCAGCACCATCACCAAGTAACATTCTGACTATGTTGTCTATCACTAGCAGCACCATATCACCTAGTAACATTCTGACTATGTTGTCTATCACTAGCAGCACCATCACCAAGTAACATTCTGACTATGTTATCTATCACTAGCAGCACCATATCACCAAGTAACATTCTGACTATGTTGTCTATCACTAGCAGCACCATCACCAAGTAACATTCTGACTATGTTGACTATCACTAGCAGCACCATATAACCAAGTAACATTCTGACTATGTTATCTATCACTAGCAGCACCATATAACCAAGTAACATTCTGACTATGTTGTCTATCACTAGCAGCACCATCACCAAGTAACATTCTGACTATGTTGTCTATCACTAGCAGCACCATATCACCAAATAACATTCTGACTATGTTGTCTATCACTAGCAGCACCATATAACCAAGTAGAATTCTGACTATGTTGTCTATCACTAGCAGCACCATATAACCAAGTAGAATTCTGACTATGTTGACTATCACTAGCAGTAACATATCACCAGGTAACATTCTGAGTATGTTGTCTTTCACTAAAAGCACCATATCACCAAGTAACATTCTGAGTATGTTGTCTATCACTAGCAGCACCATATAACCAAGTAGAATTCTGACTATGTTGACTATCACTAGCAGCACCATATAACCAGGTAACATTCTGACTATGTTGACTATCACTAGCAGTAACATATCACCAGGTAACATTCTGAGTATGTTGTCTTTCACTAAAAGCACCATATCACCAAGTAACATTCTGAGTATGTTGTCTATCACTAGCAGCACCATATCACCAGGTAACATTCTGACTATGTTGTCTATCACTAGCAGCACCATATCACCAAGTAACATTCTGACTATGTTGACTATCACTAGCAGCACCATATCACCAAGTAACATTCTGAGTATGTTGTCTATCACTAGCAGCACCATATAACCAGGTAACATTCTGAGTATGTTGTCTATCACTAGCAGCACCATATCACCAAGTAACATTCTGAGTATGTTGTCTATCATTAGCAGCACCATATCACCAAGTAACATTCTGACTATGTTGTCTATCACCAGCAGCACCATATAACCAAGTAACATTCTGAGTATGTTGTCTATCACTAGTAGCACCATATCACCAAGTAACATTCTGAGTATGTTGTCTATCACTAGCAACACCATATCACCAGGTAACATTCTGACTATGTTGTCTATCACTAGCAGCACCACATCACCAAGTAACATTCTGACTACGTTGTCTATCACTAGCAGGCAGCACCACATTACCAAGTAACATTCTGACTATGTTGACTATCACTAGCAGCACCATATCACCAAGTAACATTCTGAGTATGTTGTCTATCACTAGCAGCACCATCACCAAGTAACATTCTGACTATGTTGTCTATCACTAGCAGCACCATATCACCAAGTAACATTCTGACTATGTTGTCTATCACTAGCAGCACCATATCACCAAGTAACATTCTGACTATGTTGACTATCACTAGCAGCACCATATCACCAAGTAACATTCTGACTATGTTGACTATCACTAGCAGCACCACATCATCTAGTAACATTCTGAGTATGGTGTCTATAACTAGCAGCACCATATCACCTAGTAATATTCTGACTATGTTGTCTATCACTATAAGAACCATATCACCAAGTAACATTCTGACTATGTTGTCTATCACTATAAGCACCATATCACCAAGTAACATTCTGACTATGTTGACTATCACTAGCAGCACCATATCACTAGGTAACATTCTGAGTATGTTGTCTTTCACTAGCAGCACCATATCACCTAGTAACATTCTGACTATGTTGTCTATCACTAGCAGCACCATCACCAAGTAACATTCTGACTATGTTGTCTATCACTAGCAGCACCATATCACCAAGTAACATTCTGACTATGTTGTCTATCACTAGCAGCACCACATCACCTAGTAACATTCTGAGTATGTTGACTATCACTAGCAGCACCACATCACCTAGTAACATTCTGACTATGTTGTCTATCACTAGCAGCACCATATCACCAAGTAACATTCTGACTATGTTGTCTATCACTAGCAGCACCACATCACCTAGTAACATTCTGAGTATGTTGACTATCACTAGCAGCACCACATCACCAAGTAACATTCTGACTATGTTGTCTATCACTAGCAGCACCATCACCAAGTAACATTCTGACTATGTTGTCTATCACTAGCAGCACCATATCACCAAGTAACATTCTGACTATGTTGTCTATCACTAGCAGCACCACATCACCTAGTAACATTCTGAGTATGTTGATTATCACTAGCAGCACCACATCACCAAGTAACATTCTGACTATGTTGTCTATCACTAGCAGCACCATCACCAAGTAACATTCTGACTATGTTGACTATCACTAGCAGCACCATCACCAAGTAACATTCTGAATATGTTGTCTATCATTAGCAGCACCATATCACCAGGTAACATTCTGACTATGTTGTCTATCACAAGCAGCACCATATAACCAGGTAACATTCTGACTATGTTGTCTATCACTAGCAGCAGCATATAACCAAGTATCATTCTGACTATGTTGTCTATCACTAGCAGCACCATATCACCAAGTAACATTCTGAGTATGTTGTCTATCACTAGCAGCACCATATCACCAAGTAACATTCTGACTATGTTGTCTATCACTAGCAGCACCATATCACCAAGTAACATTCTGACTATGTTGTCTATCACTAGCAGCACCGTATCACCAAGTAACATTCTGACTATGTTGTCTATCACTAGCAGCACCATATCACCAAGTAACATTCTGACTATGTTGTCTATCACTAGCAGCACTATATCACCAAGTAACATTCTGACTATGTTGACTATCACTAGCAGCAACATATCACCAAGTAACATTCTGAGTATGTTCACTATCACTAGCAGCACCATCACCAAGTAACATTCTGACTTTGTTGTCTATCACTAGCAGCACCACATCACCTAGTAACATTCTGACTATGTTGAATATCACTAGCAGCACCACATCACCTAGTAACATTCTGAGTATGTTGTCTATCATTAGCAGCACCATATCACCAAGTAACATTCTGACAATGTTGTCTATCACTAGCAGGCACCATATAACCAAGTAACATTCTGACAATGTTGTCTATCACTAGCAGCACCATATCACTAGGTAACATTCTGACTATGTTGTCTATCACTAGCAGCACCATATCACCAAGTAACATTCTGACTATGTTGTCTATCACTAGCAGCACCATATCACCAAGTAACATTCTGACTATGTTGTCTATCACTAGCAGCATCATATCACCAAGTAACATTCTGACTATGTTGACTATCACTAGCAGCACCATATACCCAAGTAACATTCTGACTATGTTGTCTATCACTAGCAGCACCATATCACCAAGTAACATTCTGACTATGTTGTCTATCACTAGCAGCACCATCACCAAGTAACATTCTGACTATGTTGACTATCACTAGCAGCACCATCACCAAGTAACATTCTGAGTATGTTGTCTATCACTAGAAGCACCATCACCAAGTAACATTCTGACTATGTTGACTATCACTAGCAGCAACATATCACCAAGTAACATTCTGAGTATGTTCACTATCACTAGCAGCACCATCACCAAGTAACATTCTGACTATGTTGTCTATCACTAGCAGCACCACATCACCTAGTAACATTCTGACTATGTTGAATATCACTAGCAGCACCACATAACCTAGTAACATTCTGAGTATGTTGTCTATCATTAGCAGCACCATATCACCAAGTAACATTCTGACTATGTTGTCTATCACTAGCAGCACCATATAACCAAGTAACATTCTGACAATGTTGTCTATCACTAGCAGCACCATATCACTAGGTAACATTCTGACTATGTTGTCTATCACTAGCAGCACCATATCACCAAGTAACATTCTGACTATGTTGACTATCACTAGCACCACCATATCACCAAGTAACATTCTGACTATGTTGTCTATCACTAGCAGCACCATATCACCAAGTAACATTCTGACTATGTTGTCTATCACTAGCAGCACCATATCACCAAGTAAAATTCTGACTATGTTGTCTATCACTAGCAGCACCATATCACTAGGTAGCATTCTGAGTATGTTGTCTTTCACTAGCAGCACCATATCACCAGGTAACATTCTGACTATGTTGTCTATCACTAGCAGCACCATATCACTAGGTAACATTCTGACTATGTTGTCTATCACTAGCAGCACCATATCACCAAGTAACATTCTGACTATGTTGACTATCACTAGCAGCACCACATCACCTAGTAGCATTCTGACTATGTTGACTATCACTAGCAGCACCACATCACCTAGTAACATTCTGACTATGTTGACTATCACTAGCAGCACCATATCACCAAGTAAAATTCTGACTATGTTGTCTATCACTAGCAGCACCATATCACCAAATAACATTCTGACTATGTTGACTATCACTAGCAGCACCATCACCAAATAACATTCTGACTATGTTGACTATCACTAGAAGCACCATCACCAAGTAATATTCTGACTATGTTCTCTATCACTAGCAGCATCATATCACCAAGTAACATTCTGACTATGTTGACTATCACTAGCAGCACCATATCACCAAGTAACAATCTGACTATGTTGTCTATCACTAGCAGCACCATATCACCAAGTAACATTCTGACTATGTTGTCTATCACTAGCAGCACCATATCACCAAGTAAAATTCTGACTATGTTGTCTATCACTAGCAGCACCATATCACTAGGTAGCATTCTGAGTATGTTGTCTTTCACTAGCAGCACCATATCACCAGGTAACATTCTGACTATGTTGTCTATCACTAGCAGCACCATATCACTAGGTAACATTCTGACTATGTTGTCTATCACTAGCAGCACCATATCACCAAGTAACATTCTGACTATGTTGACTATCACTAGCAGCACCACATCACCTAGTAACATTCTGACTATGTTGTCTATCACTAGCAGGTGCTGCTAGCAGGTGCTGCTAGTGATAGACAACATAGTCAGAATGTTACTAGGTGATGTGGTGCTGCTAGTGATAGTCAACATAGTCAGAATGTTACTTGGTGATATGGTGCTGCTAGTGATAGACAACATAGTCAGAATGTTACCTAGTGATATGGTGCTGCTAGTGATAGACAACATAGTCAGAATGTTACCTGGTGATATGGTGCTGCTAGTGAAAGACAACATACTCAGAATGCTACCTAGTGATATGGTGCTGCTAGTGATAGACAACATAGTCAGAATTTTACTTGGTGAGGGGAACGGCACCTCTGTACCTTCAGGCTCTGATCAGTCCCTACACCCAAACGAGGACATTGCGTTCATCCACCTCTGGCCTGCTGGCTCCCCTTCCTCTGCGGAAGCACAGCTCCCGCTCAGCCCAGTCAAAACTGTTCGCTGCTCTGGCACCCCAATGGTGGAACAAGCTCCCTCACGACGCCAGGACAGCGGAGTCACTCACCACCTTCCGGAGACATTTGAAACCCCACCTCTTTAAGGAATACCTGGGATAGGATAAAGTATTCCTTCTAACCCCCCCCCCAAATTGTAAAGTGGTTATCCCACTGGCTATAGGGTGAACGCACCAATTTGTGAGTCGCTCTGGCTAAGAGCGTCTGCTAAATGACGTTAATGTGCCCTTGAGCAAGGCACTTAACCCTAATTGCTCCTGTAAGTCGCTCTGGTTAAGAGCGTCTGCTAAATGACTAAAATGTAAATGTAAAATATCACTAGGTAACATTCTGACTATGTTGTCTATCACTAGCAGCACCATATCACCAAGTAACATTCTGACTATGTTGACTATCACTAGCAGCACCACATCACCTAGTAACATTCTGACTATGTTGACTATCACTAGCAGCACCATATCACCAAGTAACATTCTGACTATGTTGTCTATCACTAGCAGCACCATCACCAAGTAACATTCTGACTATGTTGTCTATCACTAGCAGCACCATATCACCAAATAACATTCTGACTATGTTGTCTTTCACTAGCAGCACCATATCACCAAGTAACATTCTGAGTATGTTGTCTATCATTAGCAGCACCATATCACCAAGTAACATTCTGACTATGTTGACTATCACTAGCAGCACCATCACCAAGTAACTTTCTGAGTATGTTGTCTATCATTAGCAGCACCATATCACCAAGTAACATTCTGACTATGTTGACTTTCACTAGCAGCACCACATCACCTAGTAGCATTCTGACTATGATGACTATCACTAGCAGCACCATCACCAAGTAACATTCTGACTATGTTGTCTATCACTAGCAGCACCACATCACCTAGTAACATTCTGACTATGTTGAATATCACTAGCAGCACCACATCACCTAGTAACATTCTGAGTATGTTGTCTATCATTAGCAGCACCATATCACCAAGTAACATTCTGACTATGTTGACCATCACTAGCCGCACCACATCACCTAGTAACATTCTGACTATGTGTAGATGTACTTGGCAAATAAAGGTGATTCTGATTCTGATTCAAGTCCAACGTGGTGAATGAAAATCTGACCTTCTCATTGTACTAAATTGTCAAAGCGTAAGATTAAACACACCTCAGGTAAGGCAGTCCTCCAGACAGTTAACTCCAGCATTTAGAGAGCCAGTTAATGGAGAATAGAGCCTTGATTAAAACTGCAGCACTGAGCTGTCACAGGTCATCATCACATTTGTTCATTAACTGTGTAAGCTGTGGGTCTGAAGTATCTCTGGACTTAAGCAGACCCTGACACATCACAAAACCAGTGATGAAACTCATTGAACTGTCGCTCACTCCTCTTGTAAAGTCAGTAAAGGAGTAGAGGAGCACCTCAACCAAGGTGCAGCCAAAAATCACAAGAGAGGTCATCTAGATAAACAGGCATAACTCTCTCTCTCAATTAAAAGCTGATGAACCAAAAGATGTAATAAAATGATCCGCTTTTAATTGTGAGAGAGAGAGTCGCACCTATTTTTCTTGGCACTCTTGTAAAACATGCACATTCACTGGAGTGAGAAAATGTCTCTAAACAGAAGTAGAAGTTCAGGCCCAGTAAACCAGTATGTATCTCATTCTCTGGAACAAATTGATATATCTGAAACAAACTCTATGTTTGAAAGGCTGTTTGGATTGGCCAACTGCTAAAAGCTATTTGGCTAAAATGAAGACTCATGTCCTCTCTCCGTCCAGCCTAGAGATAAGGAAAATGTTGGGTCTTAAAAGGACCAAAATCAACTAGTTTGGTTTGCTGAAGAAATACATATTTTTTACATTGCACTGAGTGTAAATGTCAGGTTGACAGAGCTAAAGGATGTTACTTTTGGGTCCTTGGATCCTCAATCCCAGACTGTGAGAGAGATATATCTAATTAGGCTACAGGCCAAAGGGTGGGTCACACTACAGACCTAGACACTCTTTAATCCAGTATACTTTAAAACCTGGCAGCAAAGTGCAAAATACAGCATGACTGCCTTAGAGGCATGGATTTCCAAAGACGGGTGCCATAAAATCAATACAGTAAACAGAAGTCTGGCCAAAAATGAATTTATAGAATTGTTTTATTCCCTTGATTAAGAATTCCATTGTTGGAAGTTCCTGACAACACCGCGGTAGAGTGTCTAATAGGAACATACTGTAGATAATGTATGTGCCATTCAATAAAGTGAAATGGAGCTTGATTGATTCTAAAGCCTTTTCTATCATAATTATGTTACATACTACAGTTGAAGTCGGAAGTTTTATATACTTAGGTTGGAGTCATTAAAACTCTTTTTTCAACCACTTCACAAATGTCTTGTTAACAAACTATAGTTTTGGCAAGTCGGTTAGGACATCTACTTTGTGCATGACACAAGTAATCTTTCCAACAATTGTTTACAGACAGATTATTTCACTTATAATTCACTGTATCACAATTCCAATGGGTCAGAAGTTTACACACACTAAATTGACTGTGCCTTTAAACAGCTTGGAAAATTCCAGAAAATGATGTCATGGCTTTAGAAGCTTCTGATAGGCTAATTGACATCATTTGAGTCAATTGGAGGTGTATCTGTGGATGTATTTCAAGGCCTACATTCAAATGCAGTGCCTCTTTGCTTGACATCATGGGAAAATCAAAAGAAATCAGCAAAGGACCTTGGTGCGAAACGTGCAAATCAATCCCAGAACAACAGCAAAGGACCTTGTGAAGATGCTGGAGGAAACAGGTATAAAAGTATCTATATCCACAGTAAAACGAGTCCTATATCGACATAACCTGAAAGGCAGCTCAGCAAGGAAAAAGCCACTGCTCCAAAACCGCCATAAAAAAGCCAGACTACGGTTTGCAACTGCACATGGGGACAAAGATCGTACTTTTTGGAGAAATGTCCTCTGGTCTGATGAAACAAAAATAGAACTGTTTGGCCATAATGACCATCGTTTGGAGGAAAAAGGGGGTCGCTTGCAAGCCGAAGAACACCATCCTAACCGTGAAGCACGGGGGTGGCAGCATCATGCTGTGGGGGTGCTTTGCTGCAGGAGGGACTGGTGCACTTCACAAAATAGATGGCATCATGAGGATGGAAAATTATGTGGATATATTGAAGCAACATCTCAAGACATCAGTCAGGAAGTTAAAGCTTAGTCGCAAATGGGTCTTCCAAATGGACAATGACCCCAAGCATACTTCCAAAGTTGTGGCAAAATGGCTTAAGTACAACAAAGTCAAGGTATTGGAGTGGCCATCACAAAGCCTTGACCTCAATCATATAGAAAATGTGTTGGCAGAACTGAAAAATTGTATGCGAGCAAGGACGGGCCAAAATTCACCCAACTTATTGTGAGAAGCTTGTGGAAGGCTACCCGAAACGTTTGACCCAAGTTAAACAATTTAAAGGCAATGCTACTAAATACTAATTGAGTGTATGTAAACGTCTGACCCACTGGGAATGTGATGAAATAAATAAAAGCTTTAATAAATAATTCTCTCTACTATTACTCTGACATTTCACATTCTTAAAATAAAGTGGTGATCCTAACTGACCTAAGACAGGGAATTTTTACTACGATTAAATGTCAGGAATTGTTTAAATGTATTTGGCTAAGGGTGTATGTAAACTTCCGACTTCAACTGTACATTATACGGTAATAGATTATACTGTATTATATTTTAATCCAGGGGGGTTGTCCTAATGTGCATATACACACTGCAGGGATTGTATTAGGATAATGAAATCAACCATTATAACTACATTTCAGACCCATGGACATGCTTACTAAGTACTGCCTATCCCTGCTATAACTGAGGGATTTTCATAATGGACTAAATATAAATTATACAGACCATCTCTCATTTTCCCAATGAAAAATGTATGTTATGGTTTATTTATGTATGATAGCTACTGTCCCGTAGAAGTTATGTTGTCATATTGACTCTGTCAGCAAAGTTGAACCCACATCCCAAGGTCCACATAACAAACTTGCAATATAACTCTAGTTTCTCCTTAAGACATGTGGACCTTGCACTGTATAGTCTTTTCCTCAGTGAGCACCAGTTTGCTGCATGGAAACCTTCCGTTGACCTAACCTTAACGACAGAGCCACCTCATGTTCATCTTTCCTGGCCACACCAGCCCTGTATCCTGTCTATTTGCTCATACACTAATGGGTTTGATACAGTCAAGCTTTTACTGCAATTTGGATGGGGAATTTGTTTCAAATACACCTGCCAACCCTATTGTTTGTGTCAACAGTCTGAAATGACATAATGGTGAGTATGAGGAAGCAAAGCAAGCTCTAGTGGAGACAGAGACAGCCAGAGACAGCCACACATAGGGTAGTGTAGACTAAAGTACAAAGACTTCTGTATGCTGAAGTGATTCCCAAGGCAATGTCTTGTGCCTGAAATGCAATGGCTAACACCACCACCTGTCATTGCCTGTGTTGAAGCCCACACCAAAGCCTACAGTCAGACGGCAAGATTTTCTCTCACGTCGTGACAGTGGCACAAGGCACCACCCAAACCGTGGAGAGAAAGGGAGGCAGTGAGAGAGCGTTCAAACAGAGTAATGATGAAGGGAGGAACCTCAACCTTATTTAGTTCCATTTGAGATACAGTATCTATGTAATAATACCTGTTATATGACTGACCAGAACTGTAATACATTGATCATTTTACAGAACGTTTTTAAGGATAACAATATGACATATTTGGTTAGGTTGTTGGTACTAGAATGGGTTTACCCCCTGAAGTATGACTTGTAAATACTAGGTATTACTTTACAGTGGCAGCACTGTGAAACCAACATTTTGTATTCTCTTTAAAGGCCCAGTGCAGTCAAAAACGTGATTTCCCTGTGTTTTCTATATATTTTCACACTTTGAGGTTGGAATAATACTGTGAAATTGTGAAAAGGATGCTAATGCCCTTTTAGTGTAAGAGCTGTTTGAAAAAACCGCCTGAAATTTCAGCCAGTTTCAGTGAGATGGAGTTTTGGCCTGCTTGGTGACATCACCATGCAGTAAATTAGTTAATAGACCAATAAGAGAGTTCCAAACCTCCCTGCCAATAACAGCTAATTTTCAGTTTTCCCCTCCTCACACAGACCATTACCAGACAGTCCTATCAAAATTCTTGCTTAAGAAATTGCTCTTTGCTAAGAAGCTATTTTTGTTTATTTTTGACCATTTTAATTGAAAACAATCACAGTAAGGTTCTTAATTGTTACAAAGAAATGATTTGATATTGAGATCAAATAAAGGCTGCATTGGACCTTTAAACTCTGCCTTGGGCATGAAATAGGAGACTGAGATAATGGAATAAACATTCCCATTACTTTACAGGCCTTCCGTCATTGATCGTAGCAGCTGTACCTTCCATGAAGATGTAAGAGGGGAGATGGTCATTCATTTCCAGTTAAAGAGTTCATTTGTCATGGCTGCCAGTGCCGCACCTTTCTCTCAGCCTATGATGTTGGAACAAACAGTGCTCCCTGGTCCATACCCAGCACCCACACGCAGATAGGCCTACAATCTGCACTATGAACAGTGATCTAGGGGTGCTGTCAAGACGTGCACCACTAACATGTTGTACACAGCAGCCCTTACTATACCGCCATAGACTGCCTAGGTCACCGTACAGTATATTGCCAATGTAAAAAATAGAAACTAGTCCTGCCAATGAACATCATCTATCCTATTTTTGCCTTTCTTGAAGATCCAAAATACGCATTGGCATACGTTGGCAAATACATGTGGCTGAACAGGCAAAGATGTTGCACAACGTTATTAGTCTCTGGAGATGCAGTGGGAGGAAGAGAGAGAGGCAGAGAGCATTCTCTTAGGCTGCTCTGCAACTTGTCCCCTATGTCCATTTACTGTTTGGTCCCCAGTGCAGTGTGGGGTATTTCATTTAGAAGAGCAGCATGATGTCTGTCTGCTCACTGTTGACTCATTGTCCTGTTCCTCCAACACATGCCCAACTGCCGTTTCTGAGCAATCATATAAGCCACAATTGTCCAAGAAATTCATCCATATTATATTATAGGATTCTCTCTCTCTCTCTCTCTCTCTCTCTCTCTCTCTCTCTCTCTCTCTCTCTCTCTCTCTCTCTCTCTCTCTCTCTCTCTCCTCTCTCTCTCTCTCTCTCTCTCTCTGGGCCTCCTGTTCAATCAGGAGTCAGGACCTACAATCATAGGCTACTTACTAGATGTGCAGGCACGCTCGCACACACACCAAGCAAAGCCCCCCCTGTCTTAGATGATGGAGAAGATCATGTTAATTATGTCAAGCGAGGCTTTATTCTTAAAATGAAATACCATATGTCTCGTTGTATGGGGCCACCGTGATATCTTGCAGTGTGTCGCTCCATCCATCCTCCTCTGCTTGAATTTTTGACACCGAGCCGGGTGGACCTCCGCTTTGACAATTCCCAGTCTCACCTGCCCTTTGATCGTCGCCGGCCTCCATGCAGCAGTTATCCGAATTCGAGTCACCCGAAGTGCTGTAAAAAGGATTGTCGCTGCTGTCATCTCCCGATTCCCCAAAAACATCATCTGAGATCTGCAAGCTCTCGTAGCGGGAGCGAGCCGCCTCCAGGACTGACAGCGCCTTCCTCCCACATTCCGCCATCTCTCGTCGATGCTTTTGGTAGCTTACCACACCGCACAATATTCGTCATGTAACTATCCACGACTGGGAAAAACTCGTGCCACACACCCCTACCCACGTCCACTCCCACTGTGCGTTTTTAGAATTATGCTAGGCCTACTGCAGACTTGTGATGTGATAACTTCGACTCTCCCCTTTCTTCAAAGCATGGGCCGGAGGGGAGCTGTCCTCATCAAGGGTACTTAAATTCCGCTAGGCGCTACGCACAGAGACCGAAATGATCTATATTGATCACCCCTCTGCGAATCCGGGTTGGGCCAGCTATTTCGTTGGTGGCTCGTAAAATGGGCTCGTACTGTGTAGCGATGTAAATGAATACGCGGCATCATGATCAGCTGACATGGTTGCTCTCCTGTGCTGGCCAATAGCGTTGATAATAGCGATCTCACTGTAACGTCAAAGCTTATGGTATTAAAGCAGAATTGTGTTCTGATGCGGTTAGAAAATGTATATACCCCATAAATTGCTAATTGCTTATGATACGAATATAAAACACATGTATGACTAATGCTTTCGTTTATTCATTTATTATTAATGCATTCGTTTATTCAGACAATGTAATTACAGGAACTCTTTCAAATCAGTTTTGAAAACGTTTAATGATATTATGTGGAAAGGAAAGCAACAGCAGGACAGGATTTGTATTTTTAAGACCACCATATTTAGAATAAACCAAGCAGCGCTCTCCTTGGTGCCTGTGGGGGGTGCAGTAGACTGGTTCGCGGAAGTCATCTTGCTTTTTGGTGTGGTACCCTGCCATGTTTGCGGAAGTATAATATGAGTCTTCTCCCCTCTGTCATTCTACAGAAAGTATTTATAGACCTTTGTTACTTTATATTATAACTACATGTCCAGCCTTTTCTGATTTCAAGGATAGTACACAATAAATATGAATCTGCCAAAGGGGCCGGATTCTCTGTGTTTCGACAAGGACGTGTTTATGAAGGTAAGAATTTGACTTTTGAAACTAGCTAGCTGGCTAGCAATGCCATAGGTTAGATAGCAGTGATCAGCCAAACTGGCTTCATCACTTGTTATGACACGAATTATATAAGTTTGTCTGCTAGTATGTATCTATCTTCTTCATCAAACTGTTCATACCCGATTAGAAATGGCAAGCAGTTAGCAAGTTAGTTTCTGCTGGACATAATTTGCATCATTTTAGCTAGCTAGCTAACTAACTACATGATCAATCATGGCATGTTTTCTTCTTCTGTTGCATTCAGGATGATTTCGACGTGGATCAGTTTGTTGCAGATTGCAGAAAGCATGTCCAACTGGAGGAGATGCGCGAGGATCTTGAGATGTATTACAAACAGCTCAAAACAGCCATGGTTGAGCTCATCAACAAAGACTATGCCGACTTTGTCAACCTCTCCACCAATCTGGTGAGTTCCTATGGCTGACACGTTCATAAGCTGCATTAATGAATGTTTGCAACCATGCATTCTCAGCCAAATAACAAGATAGCAATCATATTTTACGATGATATAAAAAAATTAAAAAAAACTAGGAGCAACTGAGAGCAACAGCAGGAATCTGCTCAATATCGATGTAGCAATCTAAATAGATGTGATGATGATGTCAGTTTGTTCTTCCAAACAGTTGCTCCAGCTAGGATCAGGACTTTTACATGTCAAATAGACCTAATAGCTACAGTAGTTAGATAATAATGGATATAATCTATTTAGGTTGGAATGGACAAAGTCCTGAACCAGCTATCAGTACCACTGGGTCAGTTGCGTGAAGAGGTGCTGGTAGGTGTTCTGTTTCACTCAATTTTTTTCATATTATGATAAATTGGATTCACCTTCATTTCTGTTGAGTTGGTCACACATGTTGTCCTATTTCTGTTGACATGGTCACACATGTTGTCCTATTTCTGTTGACATGGTCACACATGTTGTCCTATTTCTGTTGACCTGGTCACACATGTTGTCCTATTTCTGTTGACATGGTCACACATGTTGTCCTATTTCTGTTGACTTGGTCACACATGTTGTCCTATTTCTGTTGACTTGGTCACACATGTTGTCCTATGTCTGTTGACATGGTCACACGTTGTCCTATTTCTGTTGACATGGTCACACACGTTGTCCTATTTCTGTTGACATGGTCACAACTGTCCTATTTCTGTTGACTTGGTCACACATGTTGTCCTATTTCTGTTGACATGGTCACACACGTTGTCCTATTTCTGTTGACTTGGTCACACATGTTGTCCTATGTCTGTTGACATGGTCACACGTTGTCCTATTTCTGTTGACATGGTCACACACGTTGTCCTATTTCTGTTGACATGGTCACAACTGTCCTATTTCTGTTGACTTGGTCACACATGTTGTCCTATTTCTGTTGACATGGTCACACACGTTGTCCTATTTCTGTTGACTTGGTCACACATGTTGTCCTATTTCTGTTGACTTGGTCACACATGTTGTCCTATTTCTGTTGACATGGTCACACATGTTGTCCTATTTCTGTTGACTTGGTCACACGTTGTCCTATTTCTGTTGACTTGGTCACACACGTTGTCCTATTTCTGTTGACATGGTCACACACGTTGTCCTATTTCTGTTGACTTGGTCACACACGTTGTCCTATTTCTGTTGACATGGTCACACATGTTGTCCTATTTCTGTTGACTTGATCACACATGTTGTCCTATTTCTGTAGACTTGATCACACATGTTGTCCTATTTCTGTTGACTTGGTCACACATGTTGTCCTATTTCTGTTGACTTGGTCACACATGTTGTCCTATTTCTGTTGACTTGGTCACACATGTTGTCCTATTTCTGTTGACTTGGTCACACATGTTGTCCTATTTCTGTAGACTTGGTCACACATGTTGTCCTATTTCTGTTGACTTGGTCACACATGTTGTCCGATTTCTGTTGACTTGGTCACACATGTTGTCCTATTTCTGTTGACTTGGTCACACGTTGTCCTATTTCTGTTGACATGGTCACACACGTTGTCTTATTTCTGTTGACATGGTCACACACGTTGTCCTATTTCTGTTGACTTGGTCACACATGTTGTCCTATTTCTGTTGACTTGGTCACACATGTTGTCCTATTTCTGTTGACTTGGTCACACATGTTGTCCTATTTCTGTTGACTTGGTCACACGTTGTCCTATTTCTGTTGACATGGTCACACACGTTGTCCTATTTCTGTTGACTTGGTCACACACGTTGTCCTATTTCTGTTGACATGGTCACACATGTTGTCCGATTTCTGTTGACTTGGTCACACATGTTGTCCTATTTCTGTTGACTTGGTCACACGTTGTCCTATTTCTGTTGACATGGTCACACACGTTGTCTTATTTCTGTTGACATGGTCACACACGTTGTCCTATTTCTGTTGACTTGGTCACACATGTTGTCCTATTTCTGTGACTTGGTCACACATGTTGTCCTATTTCTGTTGACTTGGTCACACATGTTGTCCTATTTCTGTTGACTTGGTCACACGTTGTCCTATTTCTGTTGACATGGTCACACACGTTGTCCTATTTCTGTTGACTTGGTCACACACGTTGTCCTATTTCTGTTGACATGGTCACACACGTTGTCCTATTTCTGTTGACTTGATCACACATGTTGTCCTATTTCTGTTGACTTGGTCACACATGTTGTCCTATTTCTGTTGACTTGGTCACACATGTTGTCCTATTTCTGTTGACTTGGTCACACATGTTGTCCTATTTCTGTTGACTTGGTCACACATGTTGTCCTATTTCTGTTGACTTGGTCACACATGTTGTCCTATTTCTGTTGACTTGGTCACACGTTGTCCTATTTCTGTTGACTTGGTCACACACGTTGTCCTATTTCTGTTGACATGGTCACACACGTTGTCCTATTTCTGTTGACTTGGTCACACATGTTGTCCTATTTCTGTTGACATGGTCACACATGTTGTCCTATTTCTGTTGACTTGGTCACACATGTTGTCCTATTTCTGTTGACTTGGTCACACATGTTGTCCTATTTCTGTTGACTTGGTCACACATGTTGTCCTATTTCTGTTGACTTGGTCACACATGTTGTCCTATTTCTGTTGACTTGGTCACACATGTTGTCCTATTTCTGTTGACTTGGTCACACGTTGTCCTATTTCTGTTGACATGGTCACACACGTTGTCCTATTTCTGTTGAAATGGTCACACACGTTGTCCTATTTCTGTTGACTTGGTCACACACGTTGTCCTATTTCTGTTGACTTGGTCACACACGTTGTCCTATTTCTGTTGACTTGGTCACACATGTTGTCCTATTTCTGTTGACTTGGTCACACATGTTGTCCTATTTCTGTTGACATGGTCACACACATTGTCCTATTTCTATTGACATGGTCACACACGTTGTGCTATTTCTGTTGACTTGGTCACACACGTTGTGCTATTTCTGTTGACTTGGTCACACATGTTGTCCTATTTCTGTTGACTTGGTCACACATGTTGTCCTATTTCTGTTGACTTGGTCACACATGTTGTCCTATTTCTGTTGACTTGGTCACACATGTTGTCCGATTTCTGTTGACTTGGTCACACGTTGTCCTATTTCTGTTGACTTGGTCACACATGTTGTCCTATTTCTGTTGACTTGGTCACACATGTTGTCCTATTTCTGTTGACTTGGTCACACATGTTGTCCTATTTCTGTTGACTTGGTCACACATGTTGTCCTATTTCTGTGTGTTGTGTTGGTCTCCCTTTACTTCTCAGAGCTTGAGAACATCTGTAAGTGAGGTGGTCCAAGCCGTTGACAACCAGCTATCCAAGCAAGATGACTTGCAAAACAAAAAGGTTTGTTAACCTTATATGTCTACCATTTCAAACATTCATTTTTTCTGTAACATTCATTTGTATGTGTTTAGCTGGATGCTAGAGATGCTTACACTTTTGCAATTATTTAGACAAAGATTATGATTCAAAGAAAAGTTAGACGAGTTTCTTTAAACTGTCATATTTCTCTTTTTTTGTTTTGTTTCTGTAAACAAGATGAATGTCATGAGACTCATACAAGTTGTTCGATCAGTAGAGAAGATTGAAAAAATCCTACATTCTCAAAATTCAAAAGACTCGACATCTCTTGAGATAAGCAGGTACGTTTAAAAAATGATTGCATCAGCTTTTTGCTGATTTGACATATAGTCTATTTACCATACTGATGCATCTCAGTTAATGATTAAGTTTCTTTTGCTTTGTAGTCCTCTCTTAGCTGGCCAGATTCTGGAGCGGATTGCCACAGAGTTCAACCAGCTGCAGTTCTATGCTGTCCAAAGCAAGGGCATGCCCCTGCTGGACAAAGTCAGGCCTGTATGTCCAGTCACATCATTCAACACTGACGGCCCCATTGGATTTGTGGAGTTGATTTTCAGTACACAAACTAGACTAAGGTTAATGGTTGAAAATGGCCATGCCTGCCCAAGCCTGCCCATTGTAAACGTCCCTTTACTGACACTGTGTCTGTCCATGCCTGTCCATTGTAAACGTCCCTTTACTGACACTGTGTCTGTCCATGCCTGTCCATTGTAAACGTCCCTTTACTGACACTGTGTCTGTCCATGCCTGTCCATTGTAAACATCCTTTACTGACACTGTGTCTGTCCATGCCTGTCCATTGTAAACATCCCTTTACTGACACTGTGTCTGTCCATGGCTGTGTATGCCTATCCATGCCTGTCCATTGTAAACGTCCCTTTATTGACACTGTGTCTGTCCATATGCCTGTCCTTTGTAAACATCACTTTACTAACACTGTGTCTCTCCATGCCTGTCCATTGTAAACATCCATTTACTGACACTGTCTGCCCATGCCTGTCCATTGTAAACATCACTTTACTGACACTGTGTCTGTGTACGACTTGTGTTGTAGCGTATTTCTGGCATCACGTCCATGCTACAGCAGTCTTTGGAGGGGCTCCTTATACAGGGCCTCCAGACCTCCAACGTGGACATTGTGCGTCACTGTCTACGCACCTACGCCACCATCGACAAAACCAGGGACGCAGAGTCTCTGGTGGGACAAGTCCTGGTCAAGCCCTACATGGACGAGGTGAGGTTGTGTTTCATCGAAACTGTCAGGATTAGAGGGATATATATATATATATATATAGAGAGAGATATACAGAATTTAGGGCTGGTGTCCCGTACCCAGATTGATCCTGGACAAAAAAAAATGGCTCTTAGTGCCCAGCTCACCAATATCTTTGCGAACTGATGCAGAATTGGACAGTTCAAGAACTTTATGTACTGTGTTCTGCTTCAGAGATGAAATCCATGTTTCCCTCTCTATAGAAACAGTACTTCAGTTACTATTTTGTTATCGACAGGTCATCGTTGAACAGTTGGTCAAGTCCACCCCCAATGGCCTTCAGATAATGTACACCAAGCTCCTAGAATTTGTGCCACATCACTGTAGACTGCTGCGCGAGGTGACTGGAATGGCCATTTCAAGGTACGCGCCATAGCTGATCACGAAGTCAATGTTCTAGAGGCTCCTCTCCCTTCAGATATAAGAAAGTACATGGTAGAATGGTAGTTACACATTCATAACCTGGAAAGTACATGGTAGAATGGTAGTTACACATTCATAACCTGGAAAGTACATGGTAGAATGGTAGTTACACATTAATAACATGGAAAGTACATGGTAGAATGGTAGTTACACATTAATAACCTAGAAAGTACATGGTAGAATATTAGTTACACATTCATAACCTAGAAAGTACATGGTAGAATGGTAGTTACACATTCATAACCTGGAAAGTACATGGTAGAATATTAGTTACACATTCATAACCTAGAAAGTACATGGTAGAATGGTAGTTACACATTAATAACATGGAAAGTACATGGTAGAATGGTAGTTACACATTCATAACCTAGAAAGTACATGGTAGAATGGTAGTTACACATTCATAACCTAGAAAGTACATGGTAGAATGGTAGTTACACATTCATAACCTACAAAGTACATGGTAGAATATTAGTTACACATTCATAACCTACAAAGTACATGGTAGAATATTAGTTACACATTCATAACCTAGAAAGTACATGGTAGAATGGTAGTTACACATTCATAACCTAGAAAGTACATGGTAGAATGGTAGTTACACATTCATAACCTACAAAGTACATGGTAGAATGGTAGTTACACGTTCATAACCTAGAAAGTACATGGTAGAATATTAGTTACACATTCATAACCTAGAAAGTACAAGTTTGTTCTTTCTCATGTCTTTGCTCTCTGCTGTCTGTCCAGTGAGAAGGCAGACATAGTGCCGGGATACGACTTCTTGGTGAACTCAGTGTGGCCGGAAATCATCAAAGGTATCGAGGAAAGAATCCCATCTCTCTTCAACGCGGGCAACCCTGACACCTTTTATGATGTACGTACTCTAACTACCCAATCATGTTCCTCTGGTATCAAAACTGTCAAATCAAACACATTTTTCCAACAGAGCTTGGAAATACAATAGTAGGGGAAACGCTGACCCTGAGAAGTCCTACTCTCTATAAGTAGGAGAGGGAGACCACATTCTCATTCGGTTCAAGTCTGTATCTATTTTGCAGAGGTACACCATTAGCGTGGACTTTGTGAGGAAGTTTGAGAGGCAGTGTGGCTCCCAAGCCAGTGTGAGGAGACTGAGAGCTCATTCCTCCTATCAGAGCTTCCACAACAAGTGGAACCTACCTGTCTACTTCCAGCTCAGGTGAATAGCTGTGTGCTCTATGACCTTTGACCTCCGTGCTTCCTGTACTGACTCAGTTATGTATTACAGTAGTGTCCACACAACAACTCCACAGTGCTGTCAGAACTGATATGCTGTGGTAACCTCCCTGGCAGGGGGTGTTTCCCTTTTATTTCATTCATTTTATTTTTTAAACTTGCATGAATTTATGTATTCTGAAATCTATTAACAAGAATATCTACAACAAAAAAAGCTTTGGATTTTGCTCCCTTTATAGTTGTCACCTACCCTACTGATGTCCAGTCATCAATTTTACTTCCTGGATATTGTGCTGTCAACATGATATCTTGTTACAGATAAGAAGAGGATATTTATGGGCAATGTGTCATAATATGTTGTCAGATTTGAGAGGTACTTTAGCGCTGTGTCCAACACAAGTCTGGCTTTTTGCGTAAGGCCTGATGAATGTTCTCTCTAAGGGAATATTGATCCTCTTTAGAGTCAACGTGAAGGTTGTTGGACTCTCTGTGCCTTGCACTGTTTGTCATCCAGCCCGGCACATTTTACAATGGAATCTCCATCATGCTGCACATATTCCACATTGTGTCAAAAAAACAACAACATGTTTTTGATCAATTCCAACTGTTTTGCTCATAGAACAGCAAGCTAGCTTATACATGTTCAACAGCCACGCATTGACCTGTTGTTCCCCATCTCTGTCACAGGTACAAGGAAATTGCTGCATGTTTAGAGAATGCCATTGCTGATGGGTTAGAGGCAGCACCAGGTTAGTACCTATATCCAACTGTAATATATGAATGGATATATTTTATTAATCATTACCATAAAATACAATATTACCTGATGGCTTCAAACATTTCCTTCCTCCATACACACTCTCCCCCTCCCTACACACTCTCCCCCCTCCCTACCATCTCCCCCCCTACACCTCTCTCCCCCTCCCTACACCTCCCCCCTCCCTACACACTCCCCCTCCCTACACACTCTGTTCCCCTCCCTACACACTCTCTTCCTCCCTACACACTCTCCCCCATCCCTACACACTCTCCCCCTCCCTACACACCCCCCCCCCCCCTACACACTCTCCCCCTCCCTACACACTCTCCCCCTCCCTACACACTCCCCCTCCCTACACACTCTGTTCCTCCCTACACACTCTGTTCCTCCCTACACACTCTGTTCCCTCGGGTCCTCCCTACACACTCTCCCCTACACACTCTCCCCCCTCCCTAACACTCTCCCCCTCCCTACACACTCTCCCCTCCCTACACACTCTGTTCCCTCCCTACACAACTCTCCCCCCTCCATACACACACTCTCCCCCTCCCTACACACTCTCCCCCTCCCTACACACTCTCCCCCTCCCTACACACTCTGTTCCTCCCTACACACTCTCCCCCTCCCTACACACTCTCCCCCTCCCTACACACTCTCCCCCTCCCTACACACTCTGTTCCTCCCTACACACTCTGTTCCTCCCTACACACTCTCCCCCTCCCTACACACTCTCCCCCTCCCTACACACTCTCCCCCTCCCTACACACTCTGTTCCTCAGCGGGCAGCTCCTATCACCTGCTGGTATCCCAGATGCTGTGGAACAGCTTGGTCAGGTGCTGGGCGGAGAAGGTCTACCTGCCTCCACTGGCTCACCGCTTCTGGAAGCTCACCCTGCAGCTCATCTCACGCTACTCCAAGTTCCTCACTGAGGTACACCCTCCAACATGGCAACCCAACCTTTCCACTACAATATTAATGCTAGTGTGCGTAGTGTCTATAGATTCAGTGATGCCTCTATTAATCTAGTGTTCAACGTAGCCTGCAGTGTCAGTATTCCAGTATTTTAAAGCAGCAGGAATGAAAATGTGAATACTATAAAAGGAAACGCTGGTCCTATTAAGTTGTCATGATTGGTGTTTCTGTACCCTGTACCCTGTCTCCTAGATTCTGACAAAATCTCCCTCCACGGAGGTCAGTAAAGACCCCGTGAGGCTCCTCCCCAGCTCCGCCTCCTCCACGTCCAGTCGCACCTCTCAGGATGATGGGGGCAGCGAGAACGGCAGCCCAGCAACCCTCTCCACCAAACAGCTGGTCTTTATAGCCTCTGATGTGGACCAACTACAAGACCAGGTAGTCATATGGACCAACTACAAGACCAGGTAGTCATATGGACCAACTACAAGACCAGGTAGTGATATGGGGTAACTACAAGACTAGGTAGTCATATTGACCAATCACAAGACTAGGTAGTGATATGGACCAATCACAACAAGCCAATGCAGGTTTGTACTGTATTTACCTTCCAAGAAGCCAAACAGAAATGACACATTTCTTTAATAATGTGGTTTTTAATTTTAACCATAGCTTTTCGGGTTAGGCAACATTAGACATGCTATTGCATGAACCTTATTATTTGTTCATAGTTTTCGCTACTATTAAAAGTTTGCCTTTCTCACAGATTCCGGAACTTTCTGAGATGATTAAGCAGAGACTGGAGGTCATTGGGTATAACAACTTTGTAATTGTTGCAGGTATGTCAGCATCGTGCTTGAAAGATTAAATGCACACATTGATACGTTGTTCCAGACAGTGTTCAATCATGATACTTATTCTATCAGCTCTTACTGCAAGTTAGTTGATATCAAATCAAATGTTATTTGTCACATGCGCCGAATACAACCGGTGTAGACCTTACCGTGAAATGCTTACTTACAAGCCCTTAACCAATAATGCAGTTAAAGAAATAGAGTTAAATATTTACTAAATAAAATAAAGTACAAAAATACATATAAAGTAACACAAAATAACAATAACGAGGCTGTATACAGGGGGTACCGGTTCCGAGTCAATGTGCGGGGGTACAGGTTAGTCGAGGTAATTTGTACATGTAGGTAGGGGTAAAGTGACTATGCATAGATGTGGGGGGGGGGGGGTGTCAATGTAAATAGTCTGGGTGGCCATTTTATTAATTGTTCAGCAGTCTAATGGCTTGGGGTAGAAGCTGTTAAGGATCCTTTTGGACCTTCCTTTTCCTGTAGTCCACGATCCTCTCCTTTGTCTTGCTCACGTTGAGGGAGAGGTTGTTATCCTGGCACCACACAGCCAGGTCTCTGACCTCCTCCCTATAGGCTGTCTCAACGTTTTCGGTGATCAGGCCTACCATTGTTGTGTCGCCTGCAAACTTAATGATGGTGTTGAAGTCGTGCTTGGCCACGCAGTGTTGGGTGAACAGGGAGTACAGGAGGGGACTAAGCACGCACTCCTGAGGCGCCCCAGTGTTGAGGATCAGCATGGCAGATGTGTTGTTACCTACCCTTACCACCTGGGGGTGGCCCGTCAGGAAGTCCAGGATCCAGTTGCAGAGGGAGGTGTTTAGTCCCAGGGTTCTTAGCTTAGTGATGAGCTTTGTGTGCACTATGGTGTTGAACTCTGATATATTGCCTTTTGTTTGCCTTTTTGACAAGTGTCCCTCCCTGCCTTGTGTTCTCTCTCCAGAGGCCCTAGAAGACTCCAAAGCCTCCCTGTCTGGCTGCATTCCCACCCTGAACAGCAAGATGACTCAGCATTTAACCGAGAGGTGCTTCCGCTTCCTGAAGAGTGCCTCTGAAGTCCCCCGACTGTACCGCAGGACCAACAAGGTGAGACGGCCCGCCCCTCAGGCCCCATCCTCTCAGAACAATGGAAAAGTGCTCCCATTAGGCTTCAACGTTGCTGAGATGATTAGAGAACATCTGCTGTACAGTACCAAATTGTTGACGAGTGCACTACACTTCCACACTCACAGGCTTGAAACGTGCCTGTTCTTCATCCCCTGTATAGGAAGTGCCCTCCAGAGCCTCTGCCTACATGGACAACGCCCTGCGGCCGCTGCACCAGCTCCTGAGCGACTCCAAAGACATGGTGAAGCCCTCCATCGCCCAGGACTGGCTACAGGTCACACTCAATGACTGCACTCACAGGTAGGGGCACTCTACTGTCTGTTAGACTTCCTGTGTAGGCAACTAAAGCAGTGTTACTCTACATTCCTCCAGTACCTCCAACAGCACCTCCAACAGCACACGCTTATGTTGTAGCCCCTGACAAAAACACCTGATTTAACTTGTTGACAAGTAGAATCCGGTGTGCTTGTACCAGCCACAACAAAAATATGTACTGTTGGGGGTGCTGTTGAGGGTACTGGAGGACTGGATTGGGGAAACACTTAACTACAGTATACTGGAGACTGCTGAATGGGTTAGGAGATCTTGTAAGGCTAATTCTGGTCCACATAGAAATATTCTACATTGAATGCATGCCTTAGTTTTTAGTCCTTGTATCGTGTTAAAATAATATTTAATAAAATCTTAGGCGTAGTCTTCTGCTTGCTCTCTCTAGGGTCACAATGTTTTGTCTTAAGAATGGCACCACACAAGGACACCAACTAACAATTGAATTGAATTCAAGGGCAGTCAACCTCACTAACTTAAGCAGCATTTTGTTCTGCTCCACCAAGCACAGAAGTCTTGTCATTTTCCATCTTGACTTTGGGCAGATATTTTGAAACCATATCAGATGTTTTGAGTTCTGTGAAAAAAATGGAGGAGAGTTTAAAGAGACTGAAGCAAGCGAGGAAAACAGTGACCACCAACATGACAGGAACCACCGGAGGCCCCACGGACGACAGCAAGATCCGCCTGCAGCTGGCCTTGGATGTGGAGTACCTGGGAGAACAGGTAGGGTTCCCCCTGTTAGAGAACACCAACCGTATCTTGTAGTTGTCCTTTGAATATGTTTTAGAAAGACAGTCTTTGTTTAACTCAAACAGTGGGAGGGAAGGAAGGCATGTCTGGAAAATCCCCAGAATGATTGTTGTGAAATTCTAATACCATATTGATGTTTGTTTCCCATGATAGATTCAGAAGATGGGTCTGCAGCCTGCCGACATCACCATGTTCTCAACACTAAATGACTTGGTCCAAGGAGCACAGGACGTGTCTCCGTCAGAGCAGGCTGGACCATAATCCAGCACCGTTCTGAATGTACCTGTATGCTCGTAGTTGGGAGGAAGAAAGCACCATGAGGGACTGGGTCTTATTATGTTCAACACTGATCACATGGTATTGAGATCAGGACAATTTCTACATGTCATTTTACAATGACAATGAAATATTTCCTACTGGCCCCCTGACTGTCTAACTTAATGGGGTCAAAGGGGGCTAACCCTAACCCTCTATGCCGCCTGAGAATTCACTGTAAGTTCAAGAATGCAAGTTATGTCATCATACAAAAGATATACTGGCAAAAGGTAGACCATGGCAGCTTTCTGGTCTTTACGTTTCTGGTGAATAATAAATATATTGTACATGGTGAACAGAGTTGGTGAAGGATGAGATAGATATTGTACATTTTAAATAAATGAATCAAAGTTGTAATAACCTTGGTAATACAAGCTTTGGATTCTTGTATGTTGTGTAAATGTAATTCAAGTTCAGCTGTGATGAGGGGTGACCTAATAAGACATCTCTCTAAGTTCAGCTTTGATGAGGGGTGACCTAATAAGACATCTCTCTAAGTTCAGCTGTTATGATGGGTGACCTAATAAGACATCTCTCTAAGTTCAGCTGTTATGATGGGTGACCTAATAAGACATCTCTCTAAGTTCAGCTTTGATGAGGGGTGACCTAATAAGACATCTCTCTAAGTTCAGTAGGACATCAGTTATCATTTGATGTGACAGATCAAACATCATTAAGTTCATCTGGTTTAGGAGAGGTTCTATATAACCCATGTATCTAAACCTTTAGTTCAGGGAAATAAGCACTAGCTATTAACGTTTTGTAAAGGATTCGTCAAGATAACTGTGAGGATTTCCACACTATAAGAACTTCTATTCTTGTAAGTCACAATCACAAATCCAAAATAAACTGTTAGATGGGTGACTAATACAATTCCAACCTTCCTTTGTAGTACCTTATAATCATAGCGTAAGTTCAGTGTGTAATGGACTAATGTAATAGACAAATCTGCTAAGTGCTCATTATGGTGAACTAATAAACATTACTGCTTAGGTTAACACAAAGTTCAAACATAACCTTTAATCACTGGCAGGATCAACATATATTTTCATTCGGTTTGGAAGAGGTTCTTATACCCAGTATCTAAACCTTTAAGTCTCAGGAGAAATATAGTCACTAGCTATTAACGTTTTTGTAAAGGATTTGTCAGAAAAATTTCCCAATATTAAGAAACTGTTCTATTCTTGCAATCACAAATCACAAAACAAAAATAAACTCTTAGAATAATAGAAATATACAAATTCAGACCTTTCCTTTGTCTACCTTTATCATAGCGTACAGTACATTGCTGTAATCGACAATGTACATTAGACAAATCTGCATAATGTGCTCTATGTGAATACATTACTGCTTAGGTTACTGTACTACTGCTGTACATGATACATGATCTACACTCAGTGGCCAGTTTATTAGTTACACCCATATAGTATTGGGTCGGACCCCCTTTGCCTCCAGAACAGCCTGAATTTGGGGCATTGAAACGTTGCTCAATTGGTATCAAGGGACCTAACATGTGCCAGGAAAACATTCCCCACAGCATTACACCACCTCCACCAGCCTGTACCGTTGACACCAGGCAGGATGGGGCCATGGACAGATCCTGACTCTGCCATCAGCATGACGCAACAGGAACCAGGATTTGTGGGACCAGGTGATGTTTTTCCTCTCCTCAATTGTCCAGTGTTGGTGATCATGTGCCCACTGGAGCCGCTTCTTCTTGTTTTTAGCCGATAGGAGTGGAACCCGGTGTGGTCGTCTGCTGCATTAGCCCATCTGTGGCAAGGACTGACAAGTTGTGCATTCTGAGATGGCGTTCTGCGCACCACTGTTGTACTGCGCTGTTATTTGCCTGTATGTGGCCCGCCTGTTAGCTTGCACGATCCTTGCCATTCTCCTTTGACCTCTCATCAACTAGCTGTTTTCACCCACAGGACTGCTGCTGACTGGATGTTTTTTGTTTGTCACACCATTCTCGGTAAACCCTAGACACTGTAGTGCGTGAAAAGCCCAGGAGGGCAGCCGTTTCTGAGATACTGGGACCGGCGCGCCTGGCACCGATGATCATACCACGCTCAAAGTCTCTTAGGAAACTAGTTTTGCCCATTCTAACATTCAATCGAACAGTAACTGAATACCTCGATGCATGTCTGCCTGCTTTATATAGCAAGCCACAGCCACCTAACTCACTGTCTGTAGGAGCTAACCATTTTCGTGAACAGGGTGGTGTCCCTAATAAACTGGCCACTCAGTGTAAGTTCTTAACTCCAGGAATAAATGATCATACCAGTAAGGGAACATGCAATATTGCATTGATCTGTCAGTACAAACCAGCAAGTCTGCTGATCCAGGATTTTTTCATGTGTATTCTTCTGCAGTTGGTCACAGATTTGTCATGTTGATGTAGAAAGCCCTAGAGAGTTGTGTTTCTTTTTTTCCCCAGCATGAGAATGGCATTGGAGTTTCCCTCTACTATAGTGAAGAAGAAGGGCCTGTGGACAGTGAGTTTGAGGGAAACCCCTTCATCCTGGGTCTTGTCTTGAGTTTCAGCACCACCTTCAGCCAGCTCAAACATGACTGTTGGGACACATCGAAGATAAACTACTCTAAGCTCTAAATCACCATTAGATTCAAACAAATTGTTGCAAAAAACTAAGAGTACCAATAGGTTCATTCCATTCTCTCTCTTTTGTCTATTTGCGTTCACATAGTAGACAACAGTTGGTAAAAGTACTGTTTAGTATCTTTCTGCTCTCTATCACAGGTTTATGTAAACATATTTCACTCATAGGGTTAACAGATTATTTGTTCCTATGACACGAATCTTATTTATAGATATAATAACTGCCAATGTCAACCACTACATGTAATGCATTACTTGTTAAATAATGTGTAAAATATCCCCAGAAGGGCCCCCATAAGAGTCACCCAAACTGGTTATAATAATAACAGTCTCTTTTTGCTGAAACAATACTGCCACCAAATGAATTGTTTTGGTAACTTCACTTGTGGCAAACTGTACCACATATAAAATGGCAGGCCTAAATCCCTTTATTGATTTAATTATTGTAATATAAAGTTGGGTTATGGTGGATTATGTTAATCGTTTATGGTGGATTATGTTATTTTGTCTTTATCATTCATCTAGATATTATGACTGAACATGATTTTATAGCCGACACAGTGACAGGCAGGCTATTCTCTGTAAAGGTGTTCTTTGAATGGACAGGTCCCCTCCCATCACTGTATCAACAACAATCTTCTAGGGCAGAACAACAAGTGAAGGAGAGGAGTTGCTATTGATTTATTTATTTGTTTTTTTTAAAACATTTTTTAGACAAATTCTGTACAAGTCACATTGAAAGTGAATTGAGTGAATTTTACAGCAATCTTCTAGGGCGGAACAACAAGTAGAGAGGAGGGGTTGTTATAGAAGTTTGGTTCTGATAATGATCTTCTAAAAAGCCGTCGCTGTCCCCTGTCAATTTCTGCACACCCCACAATACTGTATAGATTTCTCTCAGCGTTCTATGGATCAGATGGCCAATGAAGACAGTTTCGCCGATTTGAAGACGTTCTCTCCGATTTGCAGAGTTCGTTCTCACAGTGACACTTCTGGTTTCAGGTCGAGAATATTGTTCAGACTGCGAGGTGCACGTTCAGGTGAGTATTTCAAAAGCCTATACACGCCAAATATGTATAACCTCGTCCATATTTCCCTAATTTAGTTTAGCTTGCTGAAGTTTAAATAGTCGTTATTTATTGCAGTCAAAATGAAAAAGATAGCGCTTGATGAACAACACTGAAATGGGTTACAAGGTTGTACCACAGATGAAAGGGGAGTTAGTTAAAAGTATATTTGGAAAAAATTGAATGGCAGTGCTTGACATGCAGAGAATTCATAATAGTTTCCCACAAAAGTTTTTGAATGCATTATGCTACACCTCTCTATGATCAAATGAGGATATGCAGTCATTTTGATTGTGAGTTTATTATTATTATATACAGTACCAGTCAAAAGTTTGGACACACCTACTCATTCAAGGGTTTTTCTTTATTTGTACTATTTTTTACATTGTAGAATAATAGTGAAGACATCAAAACTATGAAATAACACATATGGAATCATGTAGTAACCAAAAAAGTGTTAAACAAATCAAAATATAGCCATCCTTTGCCTTGATGACAGTTTTGCAAACTCTTGACATTCTCTCAACCAGCTTCATGAAGTAGTCACCTGGAATGCATTTCAATTAACAGGTGTGCCTTCTTAAAAGGTAGTTTGTGGAATGCGATGCGATGGAGCCAATCAGTTGTGTTGTGATAAGGTAGGGGGGGTATACAGAAGATAGCCCTATTTGGTAAAAGACCAAGTCCATATTATGGCAAGAACAGCTCAAATAAGCAAAGAGAAACAACAGTCCATCATTACTTTAAGACATGAAGGTCAGTCAATACGGAAAATTTCAAGAACTTTGAAAGTTTCTTCAAGTGCAGTCGCAAAAACCATCAAGCGCTATGATGAAAGTGGCTCTCATGAGGACCGCCACAGGAATGGAAGATCCAGAGTTACCTCTGCTGCAGAGGTTCATTAGAGTTACCAGCGATTGCAGCCCAAATAAATGCTTAAAAGAGTTCAAATCACAGACACATCTCAACATCAACTGTTCAGAGGGGACTGTGTGAATCAGGCCTTCATGGTCGAATTGCTGCAAAGAAACCACTACTAAAGGACACCAATAATAAGAAGAGACTTGCTTGGTCCAAGAAACACAAGCAATGGACATTAGACCGGTGGAAATGTACCCTTTGGCAAATTGGAGATTTTTGGTTCCAACCGGCGTGTCTTTGTGAGACGCAGTGTGGGTGAACGGATGATCTCCGCATGTGTAGTTCCCACCGTAAAGCATGGAGGAGGAGGTGTTATGGTGTGGGGGTACTTTGCTGGT